GGCTGGATCTGAACCTGCCAGCTCCGGTGTATGTGGCTGGTGCCCTGCCTGCTGAGCTACAGGCACAGAGCCTGAAAAGATTTTTTTTTTTTAATTAGAGCCTCAAGCTGTCGCTCTGGGCAGAGTGCTGTGACATTACAGCTTACAGCAACCTCCAACTCCTGGGCTCAAGTGATTCTTCTGCCTCCGCCTCCCAAGTAGCTGGGACTATAGGCACCTACCACAACACCCCGCTATTTTTTGGTTGCAGCCATCATTGTTGTTTGGTGGGCCCGGGCTGAATTCAAACCTGCCAGCTCAGGTATATGTGGCTGGCGCCTTAGCCTTTGAGCCACAGGCGCCAAGCCTGAAAAGATTTTAAAAACCAATTTAATATTCTATTGAAACACTTTTTCCCATCTTATTCACACTTGTAAATAATGAAAATAGTACATTAGGGCCAACTAGGCTTTAAAAATCCTACAAAGCCATGAGAAGTCAGTATTCTTTTTTAGCTCAAGGGTTGGTTTGGATTTTAAGTTGGAGACAAAGAAAAGCCATATAGCAACACAAGGAAGAGAGTAGGCTCTACAGCCAGGTGTCTAGGTTCAAACTCTGGCTTTGTCACTTAGGAGTTGAAACTTTAAATACATTTCCTATTACTACCAAGCACAAATATCTAGAATAAGGAGACCTGTGTACTATCAAATATGTGTTACACAGTAGATTTATAAATGCAAAGAGGCAGTATTTTGCACTTCCTCTAAAACAGGTGAGCCCTCCTAGTATGAATCCTAGTACCATCACTTCTATTGTTTGAGATCCAGGGCTGGTGTCTTAGACGCTCAGGGGTCTTCATCTATAAGATAAGGATGAATGGTAGTAATAGTACCTACTTCATACAGTTGATGTAAGGATAAAATCAGATAATCTATGCCAAGTACTTCAAACAGTGATTACTCCTAGACAGCACCCAGTAGCTGTGAGCTATTATCATTATTACTTACAGGCACAAAGGGGAGACAAGCAAATCAATGCTTCAGAAAGATAATTCTGATGCCAGTATGTCGGACAGTCTGGATAGAACAGACTATCAACAGTGGGATATAGTTCTTTCTTACTCTATAACTAACATGAACCACAAATGTTTGCAGATTATCCACTCTTCAAGAAATTGGTCAGTATTGATCTCTAACAAAGAAGGGACAGTTAGCATCAGATAATATGTACTTAACATAAAAATTACACAAAATTCTGAAGATCTTAAAAACAACTTACTGTCTCAAAAAATATCTCCATCATGCGGGCTCTCTTTTCTTCTGCACTCAGTCCTTTTTTCTTTGACTAAAGCACAAAAGTCAAAAAAGAAACAATGCATTTTTTCCTTTTGAACACTGCATTTTAAAACAATTTGTTAACATTATTTGAAATTTTATGCATGGTCTTATCTGATACCAACAAGTTTGATATTCTCAGGGCTAGGCCTAAAGACTCATCTTAACTACTCTCTACCAAGCCTCTTTGTATATTCAATATAATAAGAACTGTGATTCAGACAAGAGCCTGACATTTTACAGAAATTTAGTATTTATAAAATGAACCAATGATAAGCTATTGTATGGTACCTTCAAAAGGCTTACAATTTCACCAAGGAAAAAATAGGTATAACTATTTATAACTAATGAACAGCTACATGACAAACTGCTACACAAATACCCAGGACAGAATGAATTAATTCCATCATGCAGAGGGAGAAAGGTTAATCTAGGAAGACTGGAGATTTAAAGAATTTTCGCAAAGTGAGAAATAGTGAAAAATCACATTCTGGGCAGACCACACACAGGCACAAGGTTATGGAACTACATAGAATGCTCCAGAAAATTACCGTATGGAATATGTAGGGGGGGGAATCAGAGGAGAAAGGTCTGGGACAGTTTTAGGGAAGGCCGACTGCTCAGCTGAGAAGAGGGGACTTTATTCTGGACAATAAGGAGCTACAAAGTAATTTCTAAAGTAGAAGAGAGTGATAAGATTAGAGCAGCGGCCCTCAATCAGTCGCAACCCCTTTGGGGGCTCGAACAAACCTTTCACAGGGGTCGCCTAAGACCATCGGAAATATGTATTTTCTGATGGTCTTAGGAAGTGAGACACTGCTCCTCTGTCTCCAGGAGGGTCTGCCCACATACGAGTATCCACACATATACCCCATACAAATATAGGTGTATTTGTACACCTGTATGTATACAAATAACATATTTATGCACTGGTGTGCTGAAAGCAGCTACTGTGTTGAAAGCAGCAGTATTGGAGGTAAAACGACACTTCATGAATTATAATTACTGGGTAGATGTAAAATCATGTACTGTAAAATCGTCAACTACTGCAAAAAAAAAAAAATTTGTACCATGGGAACTTAATCAACTTTACCAACTATTTTAGAAGCAAAGCTGATGGACTCAAGAAAGCCAGACTTGACACTGGTGGCAAGTACCAAAAAAAAAAAAAGTAGCAGCCGTTGAAGCTTCATATTTGGTGGCACTCAGAATCACCAGAGTTATGAAACCTTACACCAGTGCTGAGCATTTACTGCTGCCAGCGGCCAAAGACATTGTCTGAGTTATGATTTGACATGAATTTGTTATGAAATTGAGTACAATTTCCTTATCTAACAACACTGTCCACAGAATAGATGACATGTCTGCTGATATTCTTGATCAGGTAATCCAGGAAATTAAATTTGCTCCACTTCTAATATTTAGTACCCAGCTTGATGAATCTACAGACATTGCAAACTGTTCACAGTTATTAGTTTACGTGAGGTATATTAATGATGACGATTTAAAGATGAGTTTCTTTTTTGCAAAACTCTTGAAACAACAACTACTGCACCTGATGTATTTGACACAGTTGGTTCATTTCTGAAAGAGTATAAGATCTCTTGGGAAAAGGTTTGTGGTGTTCATACAGATTGTGCTCCATCTATGCTAGGATGCTGATCTGGTTTTCAACATTTGGTACTGAATGAGTACCAAAGTCATCGGAACTCGCTTTATGATTCATCAGCAAATATTAGCAAGGAAGACGCTGCCGCAAGAGTTACAAGAAGTAATGAAAAGCGTCATAAGTTGTCAATTTTGTAAAGGTGAGCACTTTATAAACCAGGCGTCCTCAAACTACGGCCTGCGGGCCACATGCGGCCCACCTAGGACATTTATCCGTCCTGCCGGGTGTTTTTGCTGCCACTGCCTGTCCTGCTTAGCAGCTGACTCATCCCGGGGCCCACAGTCCGGCCTTCCAACAGGGTTTGAGGGACAGTGAACTGGCCCCTTGTTTAAAAAATTTGAGGACCCCTGCTTTATTTTTTTTATTTTTTTATTTTTTGAGACAGAGCCTCAAGCTGTCCCCCAGGGTAGAGTGCCGTGGCATTACAGCTCACAGCAACCTCCAACTCCTGGGCTCAAGCGAGTCTCCTGCCTCCGCCTCCCAAGTAGCTGGGACCACAGGCGCCCGCCACAACGCCCGGCTATTTTTTGGTTGCAGCCGTCATTGTTGTTTGGCGGGTCCGGGCTGGGGATTCGAACCCGCCACCTTAGGTGTACATGGCTGGCGCCTTAGCCGGTTGAGCTATAGGAGCCGAGCCAGGACCCCTGCTTTAAACAGTCAAGTTCTCGAGACTGTGCAACAAGTTGGATGCACCAAACAATGCTCTGCTATTTCACACTTAAGTGAGATGGTTGTCCAGAGGAAAAGTTTTAAAGCGTGTTTTTGAGCTTCGTGATGAATTAAAAACATTTTTTAATCAGAAAGCAAGACTGAAGTTCGAAGCACTTTTCAGCGATAAAAGTGAACTGCAGAAAACAGCTTCCTTGGTTGACATCTTTGCCATTTTGAATGAGTTAAATTTATCACTGCAAGGACCAAATGCAATAATGCCAATGCCAATGCCTTCAGACCAATGCCTTGATTGGTCTGAAAAGACCCGATCATTCCAAATGAAACTTCAGTCTTGGCAAAAAAAAAAACTGGATGAAAATAAAATTTACATGTTGCCTACCTTATCTGCTTTCTTTGAGGAACATAACACTGAACCAGACAAAAGGATTACGATGATAATTTCTGTGAAAGAACACTTGTACACGCTTGCAGATGAAATTTCATCGTACTTTCCAAATACACCTAACACCCCATTTACATTTGCCAGCAGCCCATTCACAGTCAAAGTTGAAGAGTACAAGAGGAGTTCATTGAACTTATTAACTATAATGCAGTGAGAACTGATTTCTCTACAATGCCAGTTACAAAATTCTGCACCAAGTGTTTGCAGTCATATCCTGTTCTGAGACTATGTTGCACCTTCCAACAACATATCTTTGTGAAACAGGGTTTTCCAGCTTGTTGGTTATCAAGTCTAAATACAGAAGTAGACTTGTGGTGGAAGATGATCTTCATTGTGCTCCTGCGAAGACTGCCCCGAGAATTTCTGAGCTGGTGAGAAAGATGCAATCTCAACCTTGGTACTGACATTGGCTTTTTATGCATACTGTCGCAATATGTAGCAATGTAGTTTACTGTTGTTATTTTAAGACTGTTACCCATGCTATACCACGCTTCAAGACAAAATTTCACTTATTTGTAATTAGAAATAAATATTTCACAATATATAATTACGGATTGTTTTTGTGATTAATCCCTATGCTTTAATTATGTTCAATTAGTAACAATGAAAATACATCCTACATATCAGATATTTACATTACGATCCATAACAGTAGCAAAATTACAGTCATGAAGTAGCAACAAAAATAATTTTATGATTGGGGGTCACCATAACATGAGGAACTGTATGAAAGGGTCGCAGCCTTAGTAAGGTTGAGAACCACTAGACTAGAGTTTCATTTTAGTAAGCTAATTGTAGTAGCAAAGTGGAGGAGGGTAGGCTACAGGAAGGAGAAAAAAACCTATGCAAATCAAAAATGACTGCCAACCCAGGTTATTATCACTATGTAATACACTTTAGCCAACTTGAAATTATGATAATTACATTTATAACTGAAATGAATAAGTTAATAATAAATTTTACTATACATTGTATCTAGACTATGTACACAAGGCTAAAGACGAAATTAAAAGAAAAAGGAGACAAATTTCCTTCAACTCAAAGATTTACAAAAAAGGTGGGGAGGTGTAACCATCATCTTTAGTTCTCTCTTTTTTATTATGTAGTATTCTATTATTTATAAAGATCATGACAGTGGTGGGCAATCTGCTTATTATTAATGAAGAAAAGATCAAGGCATAATTTAAATCCAAAAGTGGCCTCAAAAGATCACACAATACAGCTCTCGTGCCCATGCTTTTGAAAAAAGGTCTCCTGAATTCCACGTGATTCAAGTATTGCTTATTTTTGTGTTTAGATTGTTTGAAAAAAAACAAACACACAAAATAAACCACAGGGGGGAAACCCTATTTGTAACAAAGTCTCAACATAAACGATATAATGGTATTAGATACATGAAATCTTTAGTTCTCTTAATACAAAATTCCACACTAATGCTTAAGTGAGCTGTATCTTTCTCAGATTGTATGGGGCAGCCTGACCAAGAGCCAGACCCTGTCTCTACTAAAAATAAAAACTAGCTAGGCATTGTGGCAGGCATTTAAAGTATCAGCTACTTGGGCGGCTGAGGTAAGAGGATTGCTTGAGCCCAGGAATTTGAGGTTGCAGTGAACTATAACACCACTGTAGCCTGGGGCAATAGAGTGAGATTCTGTCTCTCAAAAAAAAAAAAAA